AAAAAAAAAAAGCAAACCAGTTTGAAATTCTACTGCACTACAAACTGTGTGCACAGCTGCGCAATATTCTGTAGGCTACATGGGTGTCACACTGTTACAGTTCCTTTAACAGTGTGACAAACTTGACTGTAAAGAAAAAAAAAAAAACAGCTTACCAAATGTTAGGCAATAAACTCAATAAAGAGCCTAGACCTTGCAATGTCTGTAAGTCGTTCAAAATACAAAGCTACGGTGTCACTGGTCTAAGGTTCAATATTTTCAGTCATTTAGGACAGGTTTTGGTGTTGCAAATTTAAGCTAAATGCTTAAAATAAGCGAACAAATTAGCATTAGCTTCAACATGAGCACTATAGTGGACAGTTGGTTTGTTTTTTTCTTTTTATAGCTGCTCTACCAGAATTTTTATATTAATGATTGGCCACAAAACTACATGTCATATAAAACAGCTCGATTACACAGTTTTAATTCAGTCACACCACTCTGATTCAGCCTGTTCCCAACAGCAGGCAGTTGTTTTCACTGCCAAACCTACTGTCTGAAAACAAATTAAGCTAACAAGATAGCTGGTAGCTAAGCCACAAAAACCTTTTTTAAGACTTGGTGGAGACAAAAACAGTACTAAGGAGATAAAAATTATTTTTACCACATCACCAAGTTGTCAGACACATGTCTGGAAACCTAAATAAAACATTATCAGCTAAACGAATCTCCTGTTGTTAAATCTTTTAAGGGTTGCCAATAATATTAGATTTTTAAGGAGTTTGTAAAAAAAACTCCTTAAAAAAACGTACACTTCATTTGATGGACTTATAATAAGCATGCTAGCTATTCTCTATTATTTTGTCATTAGGATAGCACAGTTGTTTCAAAACACTGGCCTGAGGGACTTCTTGGGGGAGGGAAAATAACACATTATCAGCCAAATACCAATATGGATGTTATTTTCACTTTGGTAGGTATTTGCAATTTTTGTCAAACACAAACTCAGATCAATTGGTAAGATAAGAATGGCTACACAAGTTTTTGGCCAGTGGCAAGTGGCCCAAAAGAACTTGCTCTGGTCTTGCATATTGCCACCAATAAAATCATACCAAATTCAAAAAAACCAAATAAATGTCAAAAGGCAAATCCCAATTTCTCGTGATACAAAATCCTGTTAACTTAAACAGGTTAGTAGCAACAAAAGGCAGAGTTGGATTCATGCCCTCAACTTTTACCTAAAGGCCTGTTAGGTCTACAATGGCTTTGATGAAAATGGTGTCATCACGTATATAGGAGTTTTTAGAGTCCAGCTTTGAGAGCGGACAGAAGAGCGGACAACCACTGGCGATGTTCATGTCGCTGACAGGCCTCTGGAAGGATGAGGATGAAATGTCAGGCCTGAAGGCATCAATTATGTGCTCCCTGTTGTTCTGGTCGAGCAGCATAAGGGTGACCTGTGCAGACGTTAGGAGTGCAGAAGTGTAATTACTCTCACAAGAAAAAACAATGACGTTGTTCAAGTAGATTTATGCATAAAAGCCCACCACTTAATGCCCAATCATTTCTCTGGAAAGCTGCCTTGACCTCAGCCACTGACATTAAGAATGTAGGTTTTAAAGATCTTGTTCCTTTCATTGACATGCGCTAATACAGTGGGGCAAAAAAGTATTTAGTCAGCCACCGATTGTGCAAGTTCCCCCACCTAAAATGATGACAGAGGTCAGTAATTTGCACCAGAGGT